TAAAATAAAACTAGAAGATAAAAGTCTACAGAAAAAAATTCTGCAAATGTAACAAATGTATATATATATATATATAAGCCCGTGGCCCCGCCCCCTTATATACATATAAGGGGGCGCCAAGGGCTTATCCAAAAAATATGCATAAAAATTGAGAGTCGACTTAAAGGGACTGCAAGCGTAATTTCACACACCATTTCTGTAAAAAGTGACATGTTAAATTCACAATGGTACCCTTGCCATTTTGTCTGATCTTAAAAGAATAATATATCCACGTTTTTCTACCTAAAAATTGATTATTTTTAAGAATAAGTCTAAAAGAAAAACTATACGGATTGCTGACGTAGAAACATTAAAGGAAATTGTCTGAATTACTCTTTAAATTGGGGGTAACTTGAAATTACAACGATAGTCCCTTTAAAGGTTGTTTTGTTTTCAAGAGTGTACTGTATGAACTGTACAGTGTATGTAAATATAATCTTACTTCCAAAAGAAACCAAAATTAAAATGCAAAAATGTTCGTAACTATTTTTTTTGGGAAAAAATTATTCTTTGGAAATCGTTAGAAATGGTTGCTCTATATTCCATAGTCTCATAAAATTCGTTGATAAATATATGGAGAATTTGTAAATGGTAAATACATAAGATTTGGCAAGGATTGTAAGGCAAGGAAAGTTATTTCAGAAGTGTACACATCTTTTGTACTGCAGTCTACTGTCTCTGGGCGGTAATGTAAACACAAGACGGATGTCGAAGCCTGAAATGGGATCTATCTTTCACACAAAAAATCGATAAAATATTCTGGTCATAGGAAACTATTTTGTAAGTTATCAAAATTTTCAAAATTTAATGCTTTTAACCTCCTCGGATAATAAACGAACACTGATGCATCTATTCTTGTTTACAAATTCCGCCCAAAGAGAACTGGTTTCAATTTGTACGCAGAGTATACACGACCGCAATAAACTTTCCTTGCATTACATCCTTGAGATTTGGTGCAGATTTGCACAAGTTTTTCGTTATATCTTGTTCATGTGTCAATATATTTTTATGAAAGGAACAAAATAGCATTATTTTTTTCTTCAAATTAATTTATGAAAAAAAATATTGATCTCCTTCTCTCAGTTTGGGAAATGCGGAAAATTAACCCCACCTGGTTTTCTTAATCTAACATTAAATGAAAACTTTCATGTAATAGATCTTGCACTTTGGAAAAAGTTTAGAAAAACAAGAAATTTAAAATCTGTAAAGACATGCTTTAGATTTAGTGGGAACGGGGAGGCTCGGGGTGTTTTAAAGATCAAAGTTTAGCATAAACAAGTGAAGACATTATTTTCTTTAAAGGTATAAATTTGTCAAGTATGTCCAACAAAATTTAACTGGTGAACAATTATTTTGACATGGGGATCAATTTATCCAAAAAGGACAGTATGGATTACATTTTGTAATATTTTATGGTTTTTGTTAAATAAAAAAAATAATCACTTTGGTTTTGATTGTGTTTAAGTATAAAAACCTCAAATACAAAATCACGAAACCTTGAGATTACAAAATTACGCAACCTCGATGTAAGAATTCAACCCTAATTATTATCAATTTTAAGGCTGAAGCTTTTTAATGAGTTTCCTGCAGAATACAATCTGATTTTAAATTTTGACGCCCCACTCCCTCTAGTTTTTTTGCCCTAGCACTCTCATTTTTGACACTATCACCGTGAAGTTTTTAAAATAAATAGAAATTCAAAGAGTAAAAGAGTAAAAAAATAATTTAAAATATAACTTTTTTTGTGATTAAAATAATGTATGTAGAAACGTGCGTAACACTTATATATTTTTTTACCCTTTTTTGCATTATTTTCAATCCTTCCGAGCACCCAAAGTTTCAACTCCTAAAGTTATTGGTCAAATTTTTTTCAATGAGCTGGCCTTGAAAAATTGGGCTTTGAACGAACATTTTAACCCTATACCTATTCTCTCAGGCCTTTTTCTTGAGGGGGGGGGGCGTGGGGGATAAATGAAAATAGATGTTCACTTGAAAATATATCAACATTTCCTTTAGCAACTGCTTCCAAATCGTCTGTAAAACAAACAACTTTGACAAGCAAAACTAAAAACTGTTAAAATACTCTTTTTAGTTTTTTTTGTGTGCATGGTTACAAATACATCTTGTAATTTGTTTCTCTTTAATTTCTCTTCAACCAAAATACTAAAAAGACAGAACAGATAATTTTCCAGTCCAGTGGAATCTTGTTTTGCCTTTTCTTTATTTACAAATATATATTTTTACATCAATCTTATTGAAAGAATTTAATTATTGAGAGAAGGTTAGTTATGATTCCTAATCTGAATCTGTTCCACATGTCCTCAACCTAAACTATGTTTTGGTGCTTACTGTTTGTATAAATCTGCAGTATGCACCATGTTGAATTCTTATATGCAATAATTACTTTACATCATCCAGACAGAACAACCACTAGGCTGAGAGAATATGAGCAATATGAAGACGACATTTAAAAATTGATTTTCTTTATTATTCCTGCGAGGTGGGGTAAGATTACAGTTAAACTATGCGAGGTGGGAAAACCAATTTTATTATGAGCCACTTTTAAGAAAATAAAAATAATTGATTTAGAGAATATAGATAAACAACAAATGTTTTATAACAAAATTTAGTTATAGTTTATAAATTATAACAATTTAAATGCTTAATTCCCTTAGAATTTTGTACTGAAGATTTATTATATTATATATATTATATAATTTGAAAACAAAAAAGGCCAAATATACATATTAAGTAGGTTTTGTTGTACTTTATATTTTTAGTATCACAATTTCCTTACCAATCATCATGGAAACATTACATAAATTATAAATCATAAAGCGCATTTGTTGCTTAAATAAAAAAAACATTTGTAGACATCTTTTGAAGAGTTTTTAACTTTGATATCTTAATACAAAGTTTACTGTTCTAATTTCATCAATGCATTAAATTTCATTTTGCTGTTATAGTTTATGCATCAACATCAAATTAAATGACTTAAATTTCAAAACTTGATTAAAAATGTTCTTTAAAGTTTGGGGCTAGGGTGGGGGGGGGAGGTTGAGGGGGGGTTACTGAAAACAATGATAAAACTAGTTTGGTAACCCAGCTTTGTCGAAAAACTATAAATGTTACCTTTAGATCAACCTACTTTAAGCAAAATTTGCAATGCAAGCTAAGAAATTCCTGTGGGTCTACCAAGTTCCCCAATTAAAATTTGTGGCAAATCGGCCAAGGGGTTGATGAGTTATGATCGGTCACACAAAAAAAACAGACAAATAGAGATTACTACTTTATACATATAGATAAACATACACATTTTTCAACAAAATAGATCTTTATTTTTACAATTACTTCATTCAAAACTGAAGGTAGAAACCATCCCTTTGCAACTTTAAACTCTTCTCATACGGAGCTACATAAAGTGTTGCTACAGTTACAGAAAAGGCATTACCAAACGACACTTCAAGGGCGGCCCAATCTCAATAGTTGATCCATAAATATAACAACAGTGTTTTGCGTATTGCAGATTAGTACGGAAATAGAAGTATTGAAACTTAATTGATAATAAAGCAGAAAGGAGACGAAGGAAGAGAAAAGGAAAGAAGTAATATAAAGGGAATGAAAGAATGAAGAAAGGAGAAGAAGGAAGAGGAAAGGAAAGGAGTGATATGAAGGGAATGAAAGAATGAAGAACGGAGAAGAAGGAAGAGGAAAGGAAATGAGTAATATAAAGGGAATGAAAGAATGAAGAAAGGAGAAGAAGGAAGAGGAAAGGAATGGAGTAATATAAAGGGAATGAAAGAATTTCCAAGAAGAAAGGAATAAAATTTACAATCTCGTTTGATTAACGATCTGCTAGGTTCAGTAAGAGCAGAAATTGAACGAATTTGTCAGATGGAAAGATTTTAGAAACCTTGGATTCGAAATGGAACCATTTATGAATGTAAGGGAATGGAATCGAAGACAGATATTTTTCACAAACCAAAGAAAATATCTGTAAATTATGTGAGAGCTTATCTAAATGGAATTTTTATTTGTTTTCTTTCAGTAAGTAAATTACGATAAAAGTAGTGATTTACAGGGATACCCACGAAGAATGAGGCTGTAAAGACGACCTGAAACTATTGAAATTTGACGATTTTAAGGTAAAAGTCTTTTATTGGCTTATTCAGTGAATTGGAAAAAAAGAAACATCTTTTCAGTTGTAGGGAATCATAAATAAAAGAAAAGAAACAAAATAAAATTCTGTACAATCGTCTCTGAAGTCTTATCCATTGTGGGTAACCCTGTATATACATAAACAGATTTTGGATGAAAGTTAAAATTTTCATAAAATAAGTAATTATCGTAAATTCTGAAATAAAAAAGTATAAAGTTTGTTCCCTGCATTCCTTTACTATCTTTTCTATTTTTAAGAATCATTATAACTACATAAAGTTCTTGAAAATTTATTTTGTGTTTTTAACAGTTTAAGATAAAATAAACCCTCCATAAAACTTATTAAAGCTCGATCAAAACCCAAGTTATAAGCAAAGCTAGGAAAGTTTAGGCAACCGAATAAAATGATTAATCATAATTTCAAGAGAGGGGAGGGGGACACAGTGGGGTATTAGGGGAGGGTATAAGCCAAAATGAATTTATTCCATAAACCTCTTATTTATGTCAAATAAGGCTTGAAAACGAAACGAAAAACTGTCGTTTTTAAAACGATTAACAACCCTTATTGCATATTGCCAAATTTGGTCAAGCAAAATGAAAAAAAGATATAAAAAGAAATGTTTAAACCCGTCATTTAGTAATATACACAAATTAGGAATTGTCTTACAATTGTTAAAAGATATGGGCATTGCAAAATAAAATTATATTACTGCAGTACATTTATTGCTCAAGCGGAACCAATACATTGCTTCAAGTTTTAACAAGAGCTAAAAATAAAGAAATGCGGGAAACACAAAATGAAAAATTCCCAATCAAGTTTTGAAAATGTCGGCTCCTGTCACAACTCAGCCAACCAAATCGGTAAAAAAGGAGCAAAATGAAGATATTACGGAGCCAATGTATGAAGTGATAACAATAGTGCCTGAATCCCTTGATATTTCTACCAAGAGTAGCAAAATTGATGATAAACTCTTTAGTTATTTGGGCAGAATTGACTCACTAATACTTCAACAAGGCCAAGAACTAGTTGAAGAGGCAACCAAGGTTGCCAGCCTTGGATGTTGCAAAGTGGAGACAGAAAATCAGTATTCAATGATACACCCTGATACCAAGGAAACAATTTTATTAGCCATTGAGGTAAATTAAATAAGAATTATTTTTGGTTGTCATTAAGATATATCTTATTTGACGCGGTAAGAAGATACCTAAAAAGGTGGTGTGAGAGCCCTATCTTTATAATTTAACTTAAATTTTAATATTTTGCAATCAATCTAAAGATTCAAACCTTTAAACGCCGTTTTTATAACTTCATAAATGTTTAATTAGAACTTGAAAACACGAAGGCACCAAACCTTCATTAACCCATCTAAACTTTGGATTTTAGTGACAGGTAAGAAAGCAAACCCATCCTAACTTTAAATAACTCGATTAGCTGTGAAAATTATATTTCCAGTTTGTTTTGTTTAGACTTCTTTGTTTAGACTTTCAAGCATATATCTCTAATTGTTATTTACTGTTTATTGCCTCGGTCTTAAGTTTACTTTATGCTTTTCCATGCTGACTTTAGATATTTTAAAGATTTAAATTGTCATCATTCATATTTATTTGCATAAAGTTTATTTGAGCGACAAAATTGAATCATAAAATAAGTTGAATCAAGTCTTCGGTCAGGGAAAAATGTGAAATAAAACTTAACACTTTGATATTTCAAAGTTTGACTTTTATATCTTGAAGGACAGTTTGAAATATTAAAATTCTACGACATCGTTTTGCCAAAGTGCAATGATTAGAAAGTTGGAGCTTGAGGCGAGTACTCATTTTTTTTCTCTCTTATTTTGAATGTATTTAGAATTCCAATTGGTGTTTGAGAAATCCTTGTCTTTGCTGTGTTTGGAGATGTGGATGCTGTCACTGTGATTGTTCAACAAGACGACCTTTTGAGATGAGTGTTAGAGGTGGATCTGCCACAGGTCCAGAGCTACTCAAGTTTGAACGACCCTACAGGTTCAGATTTAACAATATAATTTTGTATATGCTACAGTTTTCTCTAGGTTTCTCGGTGAGCCTTCATTTAATTATCTCAATTAAGAATTACGGTTTAGACATTTGTATAAGAAACGATGGATAATAATGGATAATAATATAATATATATTTGCAAATATCTCTAAAAATAGCAATTTGTGGATTTCTATCATTTATGTTTATTCTTTAAATAAAGGGCGCTTCAAATATGAAGGGTTTATTGATGTAAATTGACTAAAAATGATTTCCATGTAAATGTTTAAAATAATATTGTTAAGGTCTAGTTGTATACCTTGCTGCCTACAGTTACTCAAAGTGGAAAGTGACAGGGAATGTTATTCTAAACTCCCTTTCAATCTCAGCTTAATGGTTCCCCCTTCCCCCCACTATATTCCAGCAACAATATTGGAAGCTGGTTTATATGTATATCAAGGGGGACATAAAGATATACAAACATATAAATATAAATAGACTCAAACCTATCCTTAGTGTATACACTATACAGAATAAAGATTCTAGACCATTGTTGTATCTTCTATTTAAAATATGAAACTGTCAGTTTTGGAAATCATCCTAAATATTTATATAATATGCTCAAGTTTCCTCAAGGAATTGAACAATCGACTCTAAACTTAATTCTAATCACAAAATCTATGCAAATCAGGTTGCAAAGGTATGTGTATTGATAATTTGAGTTTGTAGCGAGTAATCAGTTAGTGTATACACTTTTTCTTTTTTCCGGGGGGTGGGGGAGGGGGATAGGGTGATTCATATCTTAAATTTTTTTTTAAAGTGGGCATGAAAAGAAGTTTTTCAATGGCCAAAATTAATTATTTTAGATTTTTTGAGTCTAGAATACATTTTTAACCACAGTCATTATCTGGGTTCAGTAAAACAGATGTCAGCATATATGGGACTGTGCAACTGCTGTGGACTAATTGAGATCCGAGATACTAACGATGATGTTCTTTACAAGATTGAGGTGCCCTGTAGACTCTGCTCTTGTTCAGGAGGATTAAATGTAGATTTCTACATAACTGATGTTCAAGGAAAGGATGTAAGTAAATATTTTCTACACAGAATACACAGATAGGACATGAGAAGACAACTAATCTTATCATATTCGAATTCTGCACTGCGTCTGAATCATGGGTTTAAAAATACAAATAAGTTTTCTGTAAAGGGACTGTAGAGGTAGTTTATAGATTGTATGTCTGATTCACAACGGTATCCTTGAAAGTTTTGTCTGATCAAGGATGTAATGAAGGAGATTTCCTTGTTTTTCTCACTAAAAATTTGTTATTTTGAAGTGATGTAGGTGTAGAGGGTACCCTTAATAAAATGCCACTTTAGCTATAACTTGATGGTCACTTAAAAATTAGATTTAATAACAATTTAAGAATATATAAAATTTACAATACCGAAACTGCTCTCTTGGCTTTTCTGGGTTATCTAAAATTTCCAACTATTGCTCATGAAGCGTATAGCATTTCTAAGATAAGTATACAATATTTAGAAGAAAAGTTGGGTATAGGGTAGTGCACAGGAATTATAATGCACTAGATTCATTAACACAATTTTACATGTTTTAATCAACATTAACCTCCATATATTTGTAGGTTGGACTGATTAGTAAAGAGGGGGATCTGTTGAAGGATATGTTTACCAACAAGGATAATTTTATAATCAAGTTTCCAACCACAGCGACAACCATTGAGAAGTCACTCATCATTGGTGCCGGGATTCTCATTGATTATCTTTATTACGAGGATTGATTTTTCGATCAGATTGCTTATTCATTAATCTTTAAAATAGTTGTTAATACTTGTAAGATATTAAAAATTAAATATATAAAATATCTTCTTGAAGTTTGATGTGTGTGAAATTGCGGCAGTGAAGGAAAAATTCAATATATCAACCTGTTTTCTTCCTTTTATAGACTTTCAATATTCTGCTCTCTTGTAGTAGCAAACATTTAATATATCATCATATATAAACATCTTCTTAAAGCAAGATTAGATACACAATTTCAGATGAAAATTATTTTATATTCTAATATACATCATGCACACAGTACTGATGATACTCTCAGTTTAGTTAAGTTTTTCATCAGATTCTAACATTCTAACAGAAATATGTTGTTCAGACAAACTACTTGTACTTTTAAACAAAGATAGAAAACTAAGTGAGTTTAATATCATATTTCATAGATAATGTTTACTTCACTAATGTATTGGTAAACACTTCTAAATTTATTAAAACTTTGAAGTAATATTTAAAGACATGTTTACTTCTATTATAGATTGGTAATATTTGTAACTTTTAATTTTAGGTTTTTATATTTTATATGAAAAAATCCCATTCTTCTTTTTCTTCTTCTTCTTCTTCTTCTTCTTCTTCTTCTTCTTCTTCTTCTTCTTCTTCTTCTTCTTCTTCTTCTTCTTCTTCTTCTTCATTTTCATCATCATCATCATCATCAATTATTCCTTCAAGTCTACTCACACACCTTAGTCTTTAACTTTACTCTGAAGATTAAAAGTTTTTGCTCTGTTAGAGAAAATGATGATTCTGCTCTTTTACATTCTTCAGTTTCACGGTTTCCAAGCAAAAGATTATGTTTCTGTAAGTAAGAAGTTTTGCCCATATCAGAGGGATCTTTTCCACAACAAGTTTTCTAAGAAAAGTACTATATTAGGAACTACAGAGGCGACAGATCTATCAGGGATGATGATGGGTGGAATAGGGTTAAGGGGCAGCTTGGGTGAGAATGATGCTAGAGAAAGGGAGTGAAATGGCATTTATCTTGCTGGCAGAGAAAGCAAATCGTCGGCTATCTTATCCTCGGGGTCCCTCAGGACTAGTCAGTTAGCATGAAGCATCTGATCAGAAGAGTCAAATGGAAATATATTCGCCCCTGGCGAATATCAGATTAATATTAGTTGATCCAACAATAATCGTTTGTATCGTTATAATGTTAATATATTGTGTGTGCAACCATACTTTGTTATTCCACTCAATCTTGGCTTTTTTAATACTGAATTCTTTTCAAGTCTATTTTAAAACTACAAAATATATATGGAATCATGGCTAACCCTAATCGGACTCTATTGTGCTGCAGAGTAATGAATAATTTATAAAATATACTGAGAATAAGTCTCTAGAGTAGGATTTCAGGATATATTATAATTTTAAAAATGTCCCAAGAGTATTTTAAAAAGTCCAACCAAATAGTAGAATATGTATTCGTAATGTGTATAATTCTACTGAGCAAGGGAGAAAAGTATAAAATAGGAATCTATTAGAGGGTCCAACGAACATTTTAATTAAAAGTCAAAAATTTCACGGCGATAGTGTCAAAAATGAGAGTGCTGGCCGCTGGGGCAAAAAATAGAGCGGGGGACGTCAAACGGTGTTATTATGAAAAGCCTTTTGTTGTAAAATAATCATATATAATATTATATGAAAAATTAGTTTAAAAGGATGTGAAAAGCACATTTTCATATAAATTAATTAGTATCGTAAACCAAAAAGCAAATGAAAATATTAGAAAAAATATTTTCAATGACCTTTTTTTCTGTAACATTATTAGGTATATGAAATATTTTTTGTATAAAAGGAATTTAATATCAGTAAAATATCTTGTGTATGTGTAGCATTAATTCCTTAAAAGAGAGACACAAGTTTCCGAAATGAGAATAGTAAAGTGTGGGTCTAGATTTTTTGTGTCAGAAAAAATATTAAGATTGGTCTGTACCAACTCAAAAATATCAACAATATATTAAGTGTGTGTTTCAATTAATTCCTTAAAAGAGGGATACGAGTTCCCGAAATTAGAATAATTTATAATTAATTTTAAATTGTTATTCATTGGAAACATAAGTTTCTCTTTTATTTATGTCGTTTAATGCATTTTACTTAAAGGGAGTGACCCGCAATGTATGGTGGTTAAACTAGTTTCTGTAATCTCTCATTATTCACAAAGATTTTTTGGAACATTTATTGAAAAGACAACATTTGAAGAATTTGTAGATATCTGCGAATAAATTCATTAAAAATAAGAAATTCAATATAATGATGAAAACGAAATAATTAGTTCTAAAATTGATTTATTGAAAAATATCTTTTGAGAAATATGTTCCTAAACATTTTATTAGTTTACTGTTTAAAAAAGTACCCACCCAAATTTATGATTTTGAACTTCAGCTTTGCACTCAAACTTAGTAATCATACATTGTGGAACGTTTTATATGTCTCAAATGAATCCTAAAAAAATTGTCCACAATACTGCATACTCAGTTCAACCACCAGTCACTCCCTTTAATCCACAATACATTGCCGTCACTCCCTTTAATCAGTTAGTTACGAGTTACTATGAACCCAGCCAGGGTTCATCCCTAGGTACATAATCTCATATAAGTTTATTGATCCCAGTTGGAGAAATGCATAACAAATGGAATCTAAGAATAAAGCCAAACAAACTAGACTTAGTCCAAAATAGTATTTTGCATCCCTTGAATACAAAACAGTTTAGGGGAACAGTGGTATTATACCCATTTTCTTATCTAGAGATAGCAAGTCGGTCCCATTTAACCCTATCCCTGCTGGGGTACTTGAAAACCAGGATATGCTGGGGGGGGGTCAATTTGACCCCCCCTCTAAATCCCATGTTTTATTTCCAAATATGACAAATGATACATCATTAGAAAGCTCTTGTGCTCTACTTTTAGAATCTGCAAAAAAATTTGCAAATTTGCGAAAATNCAACAACAACAACAACAACAACAACAACAACAACAACAACAACAACAACAACAACAACAACAACAACAACAACAACAACAACAACAACAACAACAACAACAACAACAACAACAACAACAACAACAACAACAACAACAACAACAACAACAACAACAACAACAACAACAACAACAACAACAACAACAACAACAACAACAACAACAACAACAACAACAACAACAACAACAACAACAACAACAACAACAACAACAACAACAACAACAACAACAACAACAACAACAACAACAACAACAACAACAACAACAACAACAACAACAACAACAACAACAACAACAACAACAACAACAACAACAACAACAACAACAACAACAACAACAACAACAACAACAACAACAACAACAACAACAACAACAACAACAACAACAACAACAACAACAACAACAACAACAACAACAACAACAACAACAACAACAACAACAACAACAACAACAACAACAACAACAACAACAACAACAACAACAACAACATCAACAACAACAACAACAACAACAACAACGACAACAACAACATTAACTGAATATATTTACAACCTTGGTATATAAAATCTAGGTCAATTGTTGCAACAATGCAATATTAGAATAAAGTTATCTTTACTCCAAAATATTGAATATTCCAATAGTATTGGTGCCATAAACTATCCTTAAGGTTTAGCAATATATATTCAAGTTTATAGCAGAGTTCTGTACAGTACAGTACAGTACATTACAGAACGGTACATAACAGAACAGTACATTACAGAACAGTACATTACAGAACAGTACATTACAGAACAGCTTAAAGCATTACAGTACATTATGGAACATGCAGTTCATTACAGAAGTGTACTTAACAGTAAAGTACAGAGACAGTACATTAAAGTACAGTACAGAACAGTACAGTACAGTGCAGTACAGTACAGTTCACCAAAATTTAAGTTCATTCTGTTGAAAATCGGAATTTTATTCCTCAAAACTTTTAAATATTTTCCTAAACATTTTTAACTTTTCAAAAGTTAAACTAGGGAAATTATCTTGAGCATAAGAACAAGATGTTTCCGGAATAAATTATTTAGTTTGCTTTTTACATAAAACTATGAGATATATCGGTCTGATCCTTTCTCCGGTCTAATCACAAACTCATGTATGAAAAAGTTCCGAAATAATGAAAACTTAGAAAAGAATGTAAATTATTAAATTCTTCAGGAGTTTGTATTTCAGGAGTTTGTATTTCAGAAGTTTGTATTCAGAAGTTTGTATTTCATGAGTTTGTATTTCATGAGTTTGTATTTCTGGAGTTTTTATTTTAGGAGTTTGTATTTCAGGAGGTTGTATTTCAGGAGTTTGTATTTTAGGAGTTTGTATTTCAGGAGTTTGTATTCAGAAGTTTGTATTTCAGGAGTTTGTATTTCAGAAGTTTGTATTCAGAAGTTTGTATTTCAGGAGTTTGTATTTCAGGAGTTTGTATTTTAGGTGTTTGTATTTCAGGAGTTTTTATTTTAGAAGTTTGTATTTCAGGGGTTTGTATTTCAGGAGTTTATATTTCAGGAGTTTGTATTTCAGAAGTTTGTATTTCAAGAGTTTGTATTTCAGGAGTTTATATTTCAGGAGTTTGTACTTCAGGAGTTTGTATTTCAAGAGTTTGCATTTCAGGAGTTTATATTTCAGGAGTTTGTATTTCAGGAGTTTGTATTTCAGGGGTTTGTATTTCAGGAGTTTGTATTACAGGAGTTTGTATTTCAGGAGTTTGTATTTCAGGAGTTAATATTTCAGAAGTTTGTATTTCAGGGGTTTGTATTTCAGGAGTTTGTATTTCAGGAGTTTGTATTTTAAAAGTTTGTATTTCAGGAGTTTGTATTTCAGGAGTTTGTATTTCAGGAGTTTGTATTTTAGGAGTTTGTATTTCAGGAGTTTGCATCTCATGAGTTTGTATTTCATGAGTTTGTATTTCATGAGTTTGTATTTCAGAAGTTTGTATTTTAGGAGTTTGTATTTCAGGAGTTTGTATTTCATGAGTTTGTACTTCAGGAGTTTGTATTTCAGGAGTTTGTATTTCATGAGTTTGTATTTCAGAAGTTTGTATTTTAGGAGTTTGTATTTCAGGAGTTTGTATTTTAGAAGTTTGTATTTCAGGAGTTTGTATTTCAGGAGTTTGTATTTCAGGAGTTTGTATTTCATGAGTTTGTATTTCAGAAGTTTGTATTCTAGGAGTTTGTATTTCAGGAGTTTGCATCTCATGAGTTTGTATTTCATGAGTTTGTATTTCATGAGTTTGTATTTCAGAAATTTGTATTTTAGGAGTTTGTATTTCAGGAGTTTGTATTTCAGGAGTTTGTACTTCAGGAGTTTGTATTTCATGAGTTTGTATTTCAAGAGTTTGCATTTCAGGAGTTTGTATTTCAGGAGTTTGTATTTCAGTGTTCTCCCGGCATTCAGTGTTCTCCCGGCATTGAGTGTTCTCCCGGCAATCAGTGTTCTCCCGGCATTCAGTGTTCTCCCGGCATGCAGTGTTCTCCCGGCATTTCAGTGTTCTCCCGGCATTCAGACTGGAAACATCTACCCTCTCCTGTGCTGCCTAATACCTGCCCCTGTGTTGGCCCCCCAGCAACTAGGGCTGGCCCTATCAGCTGAAATGTCGGAAACACCCACCCTGCCACTTCAACACCTCCCAAGTATACCAACATGAGCCTGATACAACAGGTCCTAGCTCTGTACCAGGGAGCTGTAAAGACTGGAGATTCTGTTGAGCTGAAGCTATGGTGTCGAGAAGGAAAAGAATTTTTTACCTTTTCCAGATCCCTGCCCAACAGGAGGAGAAAGAAGAGAAAGAGGAGACAATTTAAACCTTTCTCTCAATCCTTTTCCGGGCCCCAGGAAACCCAGCAGTCTAAGATGAGGTCCCAAGAGTCTCCCTGTACAGTTGTAAACTACCAGAATAATCCACAATCCCAAGTTAGACTCCAGGAGAACACCAAGTCCCTGTCGAGTTCCGAGGACGGGTCCCAGAGAAACCACCCGTCAAAAGAGAGGTCCCCAAGAACCCCCCAGCCTGTTGAGAGGTCCCAAAGATCCCCCCAGTCTAGGGAGAGGTCCCCAAGAACGCTCCAGCCTGTTGAGAGGTCCCTAGGATCCGCCAAGTCTAGGGAGTGGTCCCCAAGAACCTCCCTGCCTGTGGAGAGGTCCCTAAGATCCCACCAGTCTGATGAGAGGTCTCTGAGAACCATCAAGCCTGGAGAGAGGTTTCGTAGAACACCCCAGCCTGAGGAGAGGTCCCTGAGAACCATCAAGCCTGGGATAAAGTCCCTGAGTAGTACTTCTCTGTCAAAAGAGAGGGCCCTGCAAACCCCCCAGCCCAAGGAGTGCTCCGAAAAAATCCCCAAGACTGTCCGTGTAACTAATGTGATAGATCCAAGAGGAACAGTAAACCCTATTTCTACCTCCCAGAGAAAGAGAAAAACAAGATCTCAATCTCTTGCTTCATCTCCTATTCCTCAGGTGGATGGAGATGATAGACACTTAAGCATCGAATCTGAACCTGATCCTAGCCTTGAACCTGAACCTTTTCATGAACCTGGACCTAGCTTCGAACCTGAACCTGTTCATGAACCTGAACCGGAACCCAGCCTTGAACCTGAGCCTAATCATGAACCTAGCCCTGAATCTAAACTAGAACCTAGCCTTGAACCTGAACCTGACCCCGAGCATGAGACAGAATCTGAGAGATATTTTAGAATCTTAAAAACTTTAAAATATCATTGCGATTTTGTAGAGAATCTTAGAACTTAAAAACATGTAATATGCTATAATTTTCTGCGATAATTAAAACCCGATATATATTTAAATGTATTCATAGCAAATAATAAATATTTAGATCTTAAAAAAAGTTTGTATTTCAGGAGTTTGTATTTCAAGAGTTTGCATTTCAGGAGTTTGTATTTCAGGAGGTTGTATTTCAGGAGTTTGTATTTCAGAAGTTTGTATTTCAGGAGTTTGTATTTTAGAAGTTTGTATTTCAGGAGTTTGTATTTTAGGAGTTTGTATTTCAGGAGTTTGTATTTCAGGAGTTTGTATTTCAGAAGTTTGTATTTCAGGAGTTTGTATTTCAAGAGTTTGTATTTCAGAAGTTTGTGTTTCAGGAGTTTGTATTTTAGAAATTTGTGTTTCAAGAGTTGGTATTTTAGAAGTTTGTGTTTCAGAAGTTTGTTAGTCAGTAAATTAAGGTTCCAAAGTAAATTAAAATTTCAATTGTGAACTTTCATCGATAATTTATTTTATCTTTAATTTAGGATTTCTTTACATTTGACTGCGACATGTTGGGACAGCTAACAAATTGACTATTTTAATTATTAATTAAATATATTTCTTTCTTTTAATTATTTGTTTTACTTCTGCAAGACAATTGTTTATATATTTTATTTTTAATTAATTATGTAATTAGTTTTTTTGTTTTGGAATATATTTTTTCTGAATTAACTAAGTAACATGATTTCACAAAGATCCATTTAATAACTGAAAAGTAGGTCTGGGATGGGCTGACCAATTGAACTGCACGTTTAACTCAGGTAACAAAATTTAGAATTTCCAGAGAATTTTGATAAATTAACCATTTTTTAGCGCGAAGGAACTAAACACTTTTTACAAACTCCAATTTTCTGAAAAATATGAAAATATTTGTTTTTGTTCGTGGCCCTTAGATTGCACTTATTTTATTTAAAGTCTATATGTTGAGGGGTGGGGGGAGTGACAAAGCCCTCAATTTGCAATAACAACCACCCAAACGTGTTTTTGACAATTTTCTCCTTATAGACGCAACTCCTATATGCCGAGTCCATTAGCGCCTGATCCAATCAGGGTTCAGTCATCTGTTTGTTGTCTATTCTGAACCAATAGAAATAGTATGGCGGTAACATATATTGTTTTTTCTATCTCATTATCCAATTAGAGATATGAATCCTTCAATGGGCGCTATCAGTAAATGTATTATAGTTTACTATGAATGAAAGGGGCGGGTGAGAAAGGGAAGAAGGCGTAAATTAAGGTCGGGGCCGGGAGGGAGGGGACATTGTAAAAACTCTTATTTTTAAATTTCTCTGCACACTATTAGTAGTAATCAATCAAGAACAACCCATGAACTAGCAGTAATTCTTTAAATAATAAAACCAAAACTCAACAAATTATATTCAATTTTGATAGTATTATAATGAAAAGTAGTCTCCTCTTGGCGGGTTAAAGGGAGTGTTCGCGAAAAATAAAAGGGGGTATAGGCTTACGGGAAAAAAATAAGCGCTTTTGATTGCTTCTAATATTACTTCTGTCGCGCAGACGTGTGGCATTTGCAACAATACTTAATTATGTCATATACCATGCAATTGCATAAAAAGTGTATTGGAATAAAAAATTGTAAAAAATTGTAAAAATTTAAAGAACATATTATTATCAAAACTTACAACGCATGTTTTTTGGGACACCCTGCAATAATTACGGTTGACTTTATTTATGATGAATAAAACTAATTATATTCCTAAAATTTAAATCAAAGAAAACTGGTGCTTTATATTATGTAAAGGGTATTGCAAAATAAATTTAAATAATTTTTTATATGAATTTTTTATTTCATTCAGAATCCTGCTTAGCAGCTTCTTTAGAAATAGTCTTAGATTTTTTTAGTTTTGAATTTCACACTTAATCAAAATTAAATGTTTTAAGCATATTAATCAGTTTTCAATCAAATTCAAGCTAAACAGTTTACATAAATGTTGAGACTTGCTTGCATTTGCATGTGTGTTATAATCTGTCTGAACCAGATTCATGGCAAATCCTTTCTTGTAGAAACCATGGATGAGGAAAAAAAGGATTCGATAAAGCCCTTCACGGTAAAGGATTTTCTAATTTTCACGAAATTTAGATAATTTTGTTTTAGATTTAAACAAAATTCATAACGGTTTTTGCAAAATTGCAAATATTTTTTAATTTTCAGTAGTTTTTGTATATATATATATATTTATATATATAAATATATTTATATATATATGTGTGTTAGTTATAGCTGGCTAAACTTGACTGAAAGTTTTTGAGTTAACCCTGCCTGCTGGGGTATATAACCTAATTCAATGGTCACAATAAATGTACGTCACGTCTGGTAGAATATATTTTATGTAAACCTTAAAATATTGTTTAGATATTTAGTAAAACATTGTAAGATGTTCTGCAGAATTTCTGCAAAAATTGCGCTTAAGAGGAATCAACCAGTAGATTGTTTATACACAGTGTGCTTGAAATATTTTTAAAGCTGCTTTATTTATAAAGTTATAAACTGTTTCTTCTTTGATTATTAAGATGATAATATTTGACAAATTTTATTACAGTTTAACTGCACATGTTATAGCAACAATATAACAGTAACATTGATAAAAACAATTTTATAGTGATTTCATTTAAATACTTTTATGAATGCCATCTATTCAGAAAATAATTCAATTAAAATCTACATCTGTCTCCATTTTTATGTCGTGGATTTTCAAAATGTTTGAAAATTTCATGAAAATTTGTTGCAGGCAAATTTTTAAAATTTTTTTTGATCATTCATAAACCTTGCCTGGGTCACGCGAGGCCCCACAAAAAATTTGGGCCCGATCGGTTCAGCCGTTTTGACGTTTATTGGATACAAACGGACAGATAAACAAACAAACACCCTCCCATGCAGACAAGCAAAGTATATATAGAAATAGAATTATTTAGTCTGACAGAATTCAAAGTTTGAAATATTTAGGATCTATAACATTGAGTTGTAAAGATAATGGGATTTGAAAGTTAGAGTTTGTGACTTAATTCCTTTAGTAGAAGAATCACAGATTTTAGCCTTTCTATTACTACAAGGCTTTTAGGGCGCTTCGTGCCCATCTTCTATTTCAATTGTGAACATGTTCTCATTGTAACATTAAAAAAGAAAGAAAGAAATATTTCGCGGATAAAAGAATTGCGGATTTTTAAGATTCAAAATTTTTTTACAAAAATTAAAAAACTTTTAAATGCAAATTTTTAAAAATTTTATCATTCATAACCCTTCCCTGGGGTCAAGCCAAATTTATATATAGATACTAAATAAAACAAATGATTTACGCAGAAAATATATATAGAATATATATATAGAATGTTTTTTAAGTATAAAAGTTACAACTTGTAAAATTACTTTATGGTCATTTCAAAACAAATGGGACAATTTTTTGACAATTTTGAAAGGGACCAATCTCCAATTTGGCTGAAATTTTGCACAAACAATCCTTGATATTTTTGGCCTTTAATGGCCCCCTAACATACCGAAGAATTCAAATAGCCACAATTTTAATTTTGGAAACTAATGCAGAATTTTTATAAATACATTTTACAAAAGAGAGAAAAATGTTTTTAAATAGCCTTTATGTTTTTTTTATTAGATATATTTTCGTCTGTTTTTATTCCTAAAATATTTCGAAAATTATTTTTTTCTCAAAAAATTTAGATTTGACTATGGTAATTTTATAAGTAAGTTAAAAATTTGACTTAAAAAAAAGATTTAAAAAAAAAATTGTTTTCCCCAAATTTACAATTTTTCCAAATTGTTTTGACATTTTAAACTATTGATCAAATGTTAGTAAATTGAGCAACAAGAACAATTAAGTAAAAACACTCTCAGTTACTCTCAAATGTTAGTAAATTGAGCAACAAGAACAATTAAGTAAAAACGCTCTCAGTTACTCTCAAATGTTAGCAAATTGAGTAACAAGAACAATTAAGTAAAAACGCTCTCAGTTACTCTCAAATGTTAGTAAATTGAGCAACAAGAACATTTAAGTAAAAACGCTCTCAGTTACTCTCAAATGCAAAATTTTGAAAAAGTTTGAATTTAATTAATTTTTTTTATAACAGGGCTATCCATACAATCTTCCAGAATGTTAAAATCCACCTAAAGAATGGAAAGGAGGAGAATGTATTAGCGCATGGGAACCCTTGATTACACAAAATATGGTGCCAATAATGGAAGATCTTAAAATAGATAATGCAGAATAAAAGGTAGAGTTTATTATAATTAGTGATAGGAATGTTTAGAAATGTTGAGTAAAATTGAAGAGACAAAGCTCTATCACAATTATTGGGACAACATCGTTGTGGTAAATAATCCAAATGATTTTTTGGGCGCTTTGCAAATTTTTAACTAATTGAATAATTGGGCATGTTAACAATATTATTCATTTTTTGTAATTTGCTTAATTCTGAGACAGAGAAATTTCAACAGTTTCCGAGCAACTTAAAGAGACACTTGAACAGTTTCCAAACATCTTCAAGAGACATTTTAACAGTTTTCTAGCATCTTAAAGAGACATTCCAACAGTTTCCGAGCATCTTAAAAAGACATTTTAACAGTTTCCGAGCAACTTAAAGAGACATTAAAACAGTTTCCAAGCATATTAAAGAGTCATTTCAACAGTTTCCGAGCATCTTAAAGAGACATTTAAACAGTTTCCGAGCAACTTAAAGAGACATTACAACAGTTTCCGAGCATCTTAAAGAGACATTTCTACAGTGTCCGAGCAACTTAAAGAGACATTAAAACAGTTTCCAAGCATTAAAGAGACATTTCAACAGTTTCCCAGCATCTTAAAGAGACATTTCTACAGTGTCCGAGCAACTTAAAGAGACATTAAAACAGTTTCCAAGCATCATAAAGAGTCATTTTAACAGTTTTCTAGCATCTGAAAGAGACATTTCAACAGTTTCCGAGCAATTTAAAGAGACATTTCAACAGTTTCCAAGCATCTTAAAGAGACATTTCATCAGTTTCCGAACAATTTAAAGAGACATTTCAACAGTTTCCGTGAGCACTTAAAGAGACATTTCATCAGTTTCCGAGCAATTTCAAGAGACATTTCAATAGTTTCCGAGCATCTTAAAGAGACATTTCAACAGTTTTCGAGCATCTTAAAGAGACATTTCAACAGTTTCCGAGCATCATAAAGAGACATTTCAACAGTTTCCAAGCATCTTAAAGAGACATTAAAACAGTTTCCGAGCATCTTAGAGAGACATTTTAACAGTTTCCGAGCATCTTAAAGAGACATTTCAATAGTTTCCGAGCATCTTAAAGAGACTGCAAGCGTAATTTTAAGTTACTTTTAATCTCGCTTGAAATTATTCTTACAGTTCCTTTAAATTCACAAAAAATTGATTTCAATTCCTATCTCCTGGAGTAGATGTGTTATAAAAAGTAAATGGAAAATAAAGGTTGAAAAAAAAAACTTTAAACAAATGTATATTCTGTCCTAGAGGCAGAAATTTGATTAACGGCGAATATACTCATCTTTCCAGAGGGCAGAGAGTGATTAAACAAGTATTTCGTGAATAATATATTTAGATTGTGAAATGTGATTTAACCTTTAAGTACACAAAATGTGTTGAGAAATATATTGTGGTTAAACCAATGAATATTATTGTCTCAGAAATATATTTAAAATAAAATCATGAATTATTCGCAAAAGTTGAAATCTTTTTAAACTTTAGAATACAAGAAAACTTTAATGCTTCCAAATTGTTAAACATTTCGTGAAACACATTTTAGTCCAAAACTGTGTTTAATTTTATGTCAATCAATGAAAATTGTCTTTAAGTGCATGTAACGTTAAAAACTCTTAAAGGGAGTGACCGGCAATGAATGATAGTTGAACATGAGAATGTAGTATTGTGGAGAAATTATTTAGGATTCATTTGAAATGTTGTAAAATTACTAAGTTTGAGCGCAAAGTCAACATTCAGAATCATCCATTTGGGTGCTTAAGTTTTAAGAAATGATTTTAAATTATTAAATAACAACGACAAAAAATGTAACAAAATTTCTACAGTAAACTAATGAATTGTTTAGGAACAGGTTGAGAAAATAAAAATTAACTCTTATCATCAAAAATAAGTAATCTTATTCAGTTATTGGTTTCTGTAATACCTCATTGTTCACAAACATTTTCTGTAGATTTTCTGGAATTTTTATTGAAAAGACGACATTTGAAGAATTCAAAGAAATCAGCGAACAAACAGCAAGAAAAAGAAATTCAATATTATGACAAAAGGGAAATTGCAATATTTAAATTCATTCAATTTGAATGAATTTTACAGGAAAAATGTAAAAATCATGTAAAATGTTTGTTTTTCTCAGTTGGTAGCGGAAACATAAACATATGAGGGCGGGGGCATTAAACCCCCTAAAAGGAGACTACTTTGTATCATATTTGAATATAATTGGTTGAGTTTTGGTTTTATTGTTTAAAGAATTGACTGCTAGTTCATGGTTTGTTCTTGATTGATTACTACTAATAGTGTGCAGAGAAACCTAATAATTAAAGTTTTTACAATTCCCCAAAATACGCCCCCTTACCCCTTTACCACCCGCCCCTTTCATTCATGTACACCAAACTATAATAAATTAATACAAAACTGTATAATTTGTGTTGATATGGAGTAACAAAGAAATTTATTTAATTCAAAATCCTAAAAATCCTTTTAAGCAATAAACCAGTTTCCTGCAGTTGTATCATTGTACAATGATGGTCCATAAATTGCACAAGATTAAATTAGAAAACAGATGTAGTTGTGTAAACAATACAGAAACCCCGCAATTAAACCAGAAAATCCGCTTTTAACTTTTTCCAAGAATTTATTTTGTTATTTCTTCAGAAAACTTTTAACTATCATTTAGACAGGATGGAAAGGAAACTTATGTTCTTATAAACAAATAAAAAGTTCAATTTTAAAACTGTTGAAATAATATTTCTAGAGTAACACAAAGAGATCTAATGTAAAACAATGAAGATTATTAAAAGATTCAATATAATAAAAGAAAAATTACAGAAATAATAAAGATTAGGTTGCTAAATAATCATTATTTAGTCAGCTTGGTAAAGTTTAAAGGAAGAATATGTTTATAATAAAATATAGCATGGAAGGTTCCAGATGTATTGTAAAGATTAGGTTGCTAAATAATCAATATTTAGTAAGCTTGGTAAAGTTTAAAGGAAGAATATGTTTATAATAAAATATAGCAAGGAAGGTTCTCCCAGATGTATTGTAAAGATTAGGTTGCTAAATAATCAATATTTAGTAAGCTTGGTAAAGTTTAAAGGAAGAATATGTTTATAGTAAAATATAGCAAGGAAGGTTCTCCCAGATGTATTGTATAGATTATAGTGTAACTAGAGGGAACATTTAAACATCAAAGGAATGATCTGTTACCAGGAACTTTGCTCTCTTCAACCCTGAAAAACACCCATTATTCAAAATAGAACATAAACATGGACATTTCTGGAGTCTCAATATAAAACCTCAAAACTAAAATATAGAGGCAACAAAATTAGGACTAAATTTCTGAAGAGCATTCAAGTGCATCCAAGATCAATATTATATTAATCTATAAATTATAGTCCTGTACTAATCTCCAAGTATAGATTATAGTCCTATAGTATCGAAGATCAATATCATATTAATCTCTATTAATCTCCAAGTATAGAGTATAGTCGTACATTATCCAAGATCTATATTAATCCCTATTAATCTCCAAGTATAGCGTATAGTCGTATAATATTCAAGATCTATACTAATATCTATTAATCTCCAAGTATATAATATAGTCCTATTTCATCCAAGATCTATATTAATCTCTATTAATCTCCAAGTATAGAGTACAGTTTTATCCAAGATCTATATTAATCTCTAGTAATCTCCAAGTATAGAGTATAGTTAATCTATTAATCTCCAAGTATAGAGTATAGTTATCCAAGATCTATATTAATCCCTATTAATCTCCAAGTATAGAGTACAGTCCTGTATTAATCACTATTAGTCTTTAAGGATAGAGTATAGTTCTATATTAATCTCCATTAATCTCTAAGTATATAGTTTAGTCCTATATAAATCTCTATTAATCTCCAAGAATAAACTATAGTTCTTATTTATCTTTATTAATCTCCAAGTATAGAGTACAGTCCTATATTAATCTCTATTAATCTCCAAGTATAGAGTATAGTTCTATATTAATCTCTATTAATCTCTATGTATAGAGTATAGTCATATATTAATCTCTATTAATCTCTAAGTATAGAGTATAGTCCTATATTAATCTCTATTAATCTCTAAGTATAGAGTATAGTCCTATATTAATCTCTATTAATCTCTAAGTATAAAGTATAGTCCTATATTAATATCTATTAATCTCCAAGTATAGAGTATAGTTCTATATTAATCTCTATTAATCTCCAAGTATAAAGTATAGTTCTATATTAATCTCTATTAATCTCCAAGTATAGAGTATAGTCCTATATTAATCTTTATTAATCTCCAAGTATACTGTATAGTCCTATTTTAATCTCTATTAATCTCCAAGTATAGAGTATAGTCCTATATTAATCTCTTTTAATCTCCAAGTATAGAGTATAGTCCTATATTAATTCCTATTAATCTCCAAGAATATATAGTATAGTCTTATATTTATCTCTATTAATCTCCAAGTATAAAGTACAGTCCTATATTAATCTCTATTAATCTCCAAGTATAGAGTATAGTCCTATATTAATCCCTATTAATCTCCAAGTATAGAGTATAGTTCTATATTAATCTCTATTAATCTCCAAGTATAGGAAAAGTATAAAGTTTGCTAGGATGAGATATTGTTATCTATTCTCCAGCCTGAAGAAACTATTGAACGGATAACAAGGAACATTTATCAATTATTTTCAACCTTTAGAAAATATAAAGACAAACAGTACTTTACTTTGAACTCAGATTTCATATTTTGTAAGCAAATTAGTAAATATTGATTTCTCTGTATTAAATATAAACATTTATAATTTGAGTAGACAGAGAATTATAGAATAGCTGGAAGGTTTTGATTGAGCACTTTTTAATTTCCTTTTTGTCCATGGGTCAAACTAACAAATTAATGATCATTTTTCAAACCTAGACTGGAGTTAACAGATTGTATGGAAACTGTATTTATTTTTTATTTAAATTTTACTTAACCCTGTATTCATGGTTGGGCTATTTTACTACATATTAAATATCATCTAAAATAAATTATTTTCTTTTTTTGGTTAAAAATTATATTTTTTTAAATTTTATTTATCTTTAACAGTAACTAAATGATCAAGAATACCCAAAATACGAAATTTTGGTTTAATAAAAATAATGATTTTTGTAACCTCTTTGGAAATATGTATTTTTTCTATTTCAACAAAACTTGGATATCTCATTCAATAACACTGTGCAATCTGTAATATTTTCCTAAGCACTTATGAAGAATACAATGATAGAATATTGACTACATTATTATTCTGACCTTTTGTAAACAATTTAAGTAAATGATTTGAGAGTTGAGAATAAATTACTGTATTTCTCCAAAGCTTAAGATTACATTAAGATAAAAACACGCTGGAGGGCAAAAAATGCATTTATCGTTGAAAGGAAGAAATTATGATATTTTTCACTGCACTGATCGAACTGTAAAAATACAAAAGAAGAAATTATACAGAAATTGTAAAATTTGATCAGATTTATTTAGCAATTTTCAAAAAAAAAATGTTCCGTTTACATCTAGCTGAATATATTTAGCTTGGCTGAGTGTCTGTTAGGATGTCAGTGTCCAAAAAACGTGATAATGGCTGAACAGATCAGGCAAAACTAGTTTATAGTAATTTGCACATTAAGCCAGGAATTAAGATTATTGCTTGTCATAATTAAACATTTTGAAAATGTCAATCTTTAATATTTTTATATAGTGCAAAATTTTTATTTGTTTAATGTTGCAATGTTTAAAAGCGGAGTTTACAGGTTTACAGGGTATGAACTATGTCATCATAATTTTGAGTAACCTCCAAGGCCCTCTTTAACAACGGTACTTTTTGTATAAATATTATGCTTTTGCCCGTTCCTACGACAAGAAAACTAACTTAAAGTAATTGTCAGAATTAAATACTCCTAAACCTAGAAAAACGACAGGATCTTCCACAGAATTCAAAGGTACCATTGAGAATCAAGCACTGCAATCTATGCATGGAGGTTAACTTTTAATCACACTTGCAGTCCCTTCATAAGCTTTATTGTTGATAGAAATAGGGGTATAAAGCGCCATGCAAATGTGTTACCGTAATTTAATTTTTTTTATTTTGCTTATGAAGATAAGTCAGTAAACAAAATGTATCTATTTATAGGAGTGTATTGTTTATAAGTTTAATTTCTTGAATAGTATTTAACACTTTAGGTTGTATTTAAGTGTATAGGAGTGTATTGTTCATAAGTTTAATTTCTTGAATTGTGTTTAACACTTTAGGTTGTATTTAAGTGTATAGGAGTGTATTGTTTAT